ACCGGTCCGCGGCCCGGTGGTTGAGGACCCCTGCTCTAAACCATCAACAAAACTTGTTTGAAAGGAAAAGAGAATTACATCCCCATGAAAACCTCTCTAAATGCTCTATTACTCAGTAGTATCCATTAATACAGAGAGTTAACGTCATTGCCCAGAAGTTCATTGGTTGCCCTCTCCCCTCTTTGGAAGAGCTTTATAGCTCTCGCTGCTTAAGAAAGTTCAAAACATTCTCAAAGATCCATCTCATCCTGGGCACCCTTTTTTTAAACTATTACCATCTGGCAGACAGTACAGGATAATAAAAACAAGGACAAATAGGCTGAAAAACAGCTTCTATCCCAGGGCAGTAGCTCTATTGAATTCTACTGTATAGTGCAATATTAATGCAATATCAGGGGTTTTGAATTCAATGTATAGAATGTGAAGGATGTGTGTTTGTGTTTATTTTCATAGTCATAATGTACACTGAAGATGGTATTTAATTTCGTTATACAAGGTGCAATGACAATAAAGTAAACTACACTAAAAGTATCCATAAAATATAATAAAAGAAATACATATTGAATTTTACATGTGGTAACAGCAGCGAGAATTGTGTATGCACAAAACTGGAAAAATGAAAATATACCTATCGAGGAAAATGTAATAAAGAAAATACTAGAATGTGCTGAAATGGATAAATTAATATTGAAAATTAAGGATAAGGAGGAAACAGAATATTTTTTAACTTGGGAATTTTTCTATCAATGGTTAGAAAATAGAAGCAGAAGTTTAGAATTAAGGAGGACATGTAAATAAAAATGAAGTAAATGTGTAATTAAATAATGAATATTAAATAATGAGGATAAGTAAACATTATGATTAATAGACCTGGAGGATAAATGGTTACAAATGTGACAGTTATATGATGTTTTATAATGCTTTATTATTAACTAATTATAGACAAAACCAAACAGTGTTTAATTAAATAACGGAAAATGTTTAATAAGGTTATGGTGAATAGATTTTGATAATAATAGTTATAGTTATTGTGTGTATAAGATTTATTATCGGTATTTGCATTTAAAAGAGATTGTATCCAGTCAGTACTCTGCCTTTGTGGATATAGAAATTTTATATATAACAAAGAAAATTGCATAATAAAAAATAATTTAAAAAATTATCCATAAACACATAAACACATAAATACATAAACACATAAATACATCTACAATAGAAGTAGGAGGGCATCTGAACTTGTGACAGAAGGACAAAGTGTTTTTATATGCATTTATTATCTATACACTAATACTCTTTGTATGATATATAAACAAGTTGTCTTTGAACTCTGCCCTCAAGAAAGCAAACATAGATATAACAGCAACTTAGTAGGATGATTTCTATTCAGGGATATAACTGAAGGATATACTTTCACAAGTAGAACGAGCAATAGAAAAGGAGAATTATCATGGTATGGTTTAGCACTGTATGATTAAAATTCAAGTGAATAAACTTGATGATGCCATAGAAAATGTTTAAAATAAGGGGAAAAACTAAACCATGTTTAGGGAAGAAAAATTAAATGCACAGGTATGGAATAGGTTTTATATGGGTCATAGTAATAACTGTGAGAGGGATCTTGTGCTAGTGGATAATCATTTAAATATGAGCTAGCAGTGTGCTGCAACTGCCAAAAACAGCCAATGCAGTCCTAGGCTGCATTAACAGATTCAAGATCATGGGAAGTATTAATACCACTTTATAATGCCTTGGTAAGACCATACTTGGAATATTGCATCAAGTTCTGGTTACCATGATATAAAAGGATATTAAGACTCTAGAAAGTGCGCAGAGAAGAGCAACAAAGATGATTAGGGACTGGAGGGTAAACATACAAGAATGGTTTCAGGAATTGGGTATGTCTAGTTTAATTAAAAGAAGGACTATGGGTGACATGATAGCACTATTCCAAGGGGCTGCCACAAAAAAGAGCAGATCAACCTATTCTCCAAGGTACCTGAAGGCAGGATGAGAAGCAATCGAAGGAAAATAATTAAGGAGAGAACCATCTTAGAACTAAGAAGAAATTCCCAACAGAACAGTTAATCAGTGGAATTACTTACCTTCAGAAGTTGTGGGTGCTTCAACACTGAAGGTTTTTAAAAAGAGACTGGACAATCATTTGTCTCAAATGGTACAGGCCCAGGGTCTCCTGCTTGAGCAGGGGTTAGACTAGAAGTTCTCCAAGGTGCCTTCCAACTCTACTATTCTCTTATTCTGTAATAATGTTGTCTATACCATTGCCTCACCAAATAGATGAAACTTATGCTTCCCAAAAGAAAAGTATAGTTCTCTTAAAGATAGTAGTATTGATGAGAAACTTTAATTATCCTAACATTTGGGATAAAGATCCCAACATCTGTATGGAGATGGATTCTGTCTAGTATGGTCCTTTCAGGAAATTACTGGTTTATCCTTCAAAGAGAAGAAAACAGGAGGATGAAATTTCCTCAACTTGATACTAACTTACTAGGATTATTTCACTGAGGAAATTGAAATAGCAGGTATATTAGGAAAGTAATTATGAATGAAAAAGTAACTCAAGTTGAGAGGGAGAGCTTTAAAAAAAACGTGTGTAAGCAGTACAAAGGGACTGATTGTCATGGGAAAAAACACAGGCTGTGTAGAAGTATGGAGAAATATAAGGGGAGGTAAAGGTCAGAATGAGCCAAGATTGATAAAGAATGTTAAAACCACAAGAAGTCCTTTTTTAGGTATAGACAAAACAAAAAGAAAAGAATTATTGCAGCAACTATTAGATGAAGACTGCAAAAAGTACCCCATCCCTTAAAAAGGGAGATAACAAAATGTAAAACAAAACAAAGCAAAAAAAAACACCCAATTCCTACTTTTGGTTCAGCCTTGACCAGCAAAAGCACATTTGCTCCTTCAGGCAAATGCAAAAAGCAGGTTGAAGGCGTAGGGTTGAATATTGAGACTGATAGAAATATATTAGGGAATATCTATTTCTAATTAATTTAAATGTCAACATCCAGATTAATTTTAGAGTATTAAAGCAATTTGCTGATAGACAGAGCAAACCATTATGTATTGATATGAGAGATCCTGGAGAAATAGTGAAGTGCTAATTGACTGGGAGAGGACAAATGTTGTCCTTTATATCTCTCTATAAATTTTGGCCATTATACTGCATTTATAAATTGTTGGATGAATAGTATGGAAGGTTCCTTCTTTCTTCAAGAGTTAAGGACGAGAGAGAGATTGCGTGGTACATGTCTAATAACTCTTTCATATCATAAAGAGCAATTAAATTTGTAATGTACAAGAAAATAGGCAACAGTACTAAATATCAAACTTATTCTGGGATTTTTCTTTCTCCAAATGTGGTACAAGTTAATAACCTATGTTTTTCACAGCTTATTTTCAGCATGAATCCATTATGGAAACATGCCATTCTAACTAAACCATACTCACAGGAGATGGGCTCTTTCCCTTCACAAGGATATCTTCAAGAACCTCCCACCGTACCATTTCTTCTGGAGATGGGAATTGGTTTAACCTCCTCTCTAAATCTTTCTAGAAAAGAATCAAAACCAAATCATATGAAAATCATCCTTCTGTCCTATACATTGTCCACCATCATTCCTTCTTCGTTAGGAATTTGGAAGCCCGGGGAATTACTTTAGATAACAGCATCAAATTAAGAAGCAAATCATCCAGCAATTGGGTGCTCCAGGACTTACTGTCCTTTTCTTCTCAGTTCCTTGTTCTTTTTGTGTTAAGTCTAATTTAAGACCATCAGCAGAGATTATCATCACAGACATCCCTGAAAGCAACTATGTCATGATCATGATGTAATGACTCAAATATGCAACTTATATAATTTGTCAATTGTAATAATGAAAATGACACCAATTACAAAATCATATCATGGTACAATGACATCATAAAAGAAAACATGGAGATTATTTGAATGAATGACAGTCTTGCTTTGTTAGGACCTGCCAATGTGCTGAGACTTTGCCAGGAAAAATGACTATGTAGCAATTCAGAGAGCTGGAGATCACAAATGAGATGTGGAGTTTCTCATGCCACTAATTTGCACCAGAAGCACTGGAGGATGCTGTCAGAGTTCATCTGCATGAACTCTGGCAGCTTTCTATAAAATGAATCTAATAATGGAAGAGAATAACAATGCCAAGCTTGCACACTAAAAGAACTTCAGACCAGGATGAAAGATATAGTTAACACAGAGCAACTGGGGCAACTGGACAAACTGTTTCAGATACTTCGGATTTTGCACAACCACCAGGCACAAAAATTACTTTTCTGTAGAAGGCAAGAACATACCAAATCATGATCCAAGCTACTCTGATCACTCAGGCAAACATTTAAACGATCATCAAACCCACGAGGATCTAGCTGCAAAATGAAATAAAAGTTTAGATTACCCTTTTTATTCAAATATAAGTTGTGATTATGAATAAGCACTAAACATGTCATAAAGGTAAGTTAAATATGAGCTGGTTCGCTCACACAGGGAAAATTCAAGCAAAAAAAAAAGAATGCCTAAGTCAAAATAAGTGTATTGCTCTGGGGGCCATTTTTTTTCTCTTATAAGTTGGGCAGGGAGGGGGGAGTAAACATCTTTAATCCCAGAGTGCAAAGAAACAAAAACAAGCACCAGGAGATAAATTGGTCTCAAGGAACAGCTCTAGAATACAGTTCATTTAATATTACTCAAAAATATAAACAACTATCAATATAAATAGTGTCTAAGAATATAAACAGTTCCAAGCCTGGTGTTCTTTTTTTGTAAAATTATAGTGTTCAGGTTTGATAAATTCAATATTGACAGATAATGAGGGAGTCTTTTAGGCATTGCTCCGATGACTCTCATCACAATTGGTATAACAATGAATTTATTTTTCCATAAGCATTCAACTTTGATCTGTCAGTCCCAGTTTTTGTAAATTTTTCCCAATTGTTTTTTCCTCAATCCTACCGGTATCATCACTGTTATAGTGACATCAATGAACCAGACTTTCTTCTTTTCAATAACCGTTTTATATCAACCATGTTATGAACAAGATGCATGCCTGTTTGGATCTTAAACTCCCCAAAATTTTAACCTGATCATTTTCCAAAACCTTCTCAATATAATGATCCCAGACATTTTTACTATAACTTCTGGCAAAAGCTTCCAATAAATAATTTACAACTCTGCCTGTAGTCACTTTGTAAAATTTTGCTGCAGCCATTGATCACCAGAAAGGCAATATTTTCACCTTCATGCAATTAGCTGACAAACCTTAAGCAGCTAAAATAAAGCCTTCAGTTTCTTTTTTTAAAATGCTTAACCATGTGGGTTTTTAAAATCTGCTTTTCTTCAGTATCCTTCAAGTATTGGCTATATATTGGCTTATGCTTCCAATTAACAAATTCATTTTCATTTTTTTTTTAATATTCAGCTTTCACCTTTGTTGCCTTTCAAGAGCTTTCCTTGACTGACTTCTTTTAGCAAGGGTTCTTGGCTTTTCTTACAGCCAGTGACTGCCACATGTAGTCATGATTATTATTATGGTTGGTCCTATAGTTAACCAAATGCTTAGACTGGATTTGGCATTTTTATCCACCCCTGGATTCCTTCCCAGAATCCTAGAATAGGCAAATATTCTCTGATGTTGTTAAAGGTGGTATTGCCCAAGGTGGCTATTACTATTATTATTGTTGTTTGTAGTACTATTAGTTAAAGTACTATTTATTACATTCTTTTCATAAAATAAATATTTGAAACTCAATGAACAATATGAAATTTCATGAAGAGGTTGAGGAACTGAAGAGTTTGGGGTCTCTGACCTACAGTTGTCCATCCCCCCCACCCCAATGCAGTACTAATAAAATAAGCTGTTTTCAATTTTCAGACAAGGTAGGGAAGCTCTGATTAACTCTAGTAGGTACACACCCACACAAAATAAACCGTTTAGGAACTTGATCAATTCAGGGCTGTTGTAGGATACAGTTTATATCCCACACTGCTTTTGCCAAAATGTGCATGTATACCCCACCCTAGTAATTTCTGTACAGATGGTCCTCAACTTACGATCACAATTGAGTGCAAAATTTATGTTGTTATGTAAAACATTAGTTAAAGGAATTTTGCCCCATTTACAACTTTTCTTGCCACAGTTATTAAGTGAATGACTGTAATTTTGATCACAGGGATATTGCAATGGTTGTAAGTGTGAAAAGTGGTCAAAAGTCACTTTTTTAATGCTGTTGTAACTTTGAAATGAATTGTTATAAGTTAAGGATAACCTGTACTTCTTTGTATGGATTAGCCCCTGTGATTCCAGGCCCACAAAGCAAAATAAAAGCATTTGAACTATTGCTGCTACCCTGATTTGTAAACCTCTATCTTTTGTTGAAAAGTAAAAGACAATTCAATCTACCCTTGATCTCTATGTGTGCCTTCATTTGGAAGTGAGTGCAGATAGTACCTAGTCAGAAAATCTAGATCCCTGAGGTTTTAAGAAAGAACTAAACAACCAAGTCATGAACATATGCAGCCAACTCCCAAAGGCTTGCAAGGCCAACAGAGCAAAATAAAAGCTGCTTACCACAGCTAAGTGTTCCTTGATTTTTTTTACTTCATCCTCCAAGTTGCTTGTGGCTGATTTCATGTTGCTCGTCTCATCCACTAAATCTTGTAACAGGGACATAGCCTACAAAAGAAAGAAAGTGAGAAAGTGAAAGGTGAATGTATTTACTCCTTTAGACAATTGATTAAGGATGGTCTCCAGTTTAGTCCTTGTCTTCCTCATGTTTCTGAGATCTGAAACCAAACAAACATACTATGGGAAATCAATGCTTTGATCTCACAAACTAACCTTATTTTAAAGCAATTGATAGGGGACTGGATGGAAGAATGCTTTTCCTCAGAGCTAAACTGCAGCAAAAGAAGGAAAGGAAATCAGGAAAATGCAGATTTTTATTCTTAAGGAAAAATGAATGCATTCTCAGGAGGAATCTAGGTCTCTCTATTGATCATTCTTTGGAAATTAATGTGTAGTTACTGAAGGTGTCAGAAAGTATTCCACCAAATGCTAGTTTTGAAGGAGAGGCCTCAGCTTCCACTCCATAATCAAAATCATTCTTAACCAAATAAGAAGAGAGAATATTCACGGCAGCAACATATTTGAATTAAATTCCCTGAGTTCCCTCTCAGTCAAAAGGGAATAAAAACACCAATAGGTTTCTCCCTTAGGGGAGAAAAGCATGTTCCAATTGCTGGAACAGGCCTTGTGGGGAGAACAAGGAAGCCACTGGCAGTTGAGACCAACAACATTCACTGAAGATGAACACTACCATACAATGTAATCTTCAAATAGCCTCATCACACATTCTTTAAAAAAAAAAAACAATCAGGAAATCTTGAGAATATTTTTGCAAGATTTAGAAGCCCAGCTTCTCTTTTGATATACTCAGGTTTAACCATTATAAGAAACCATTCATTGGAAGAGTATTTTGCTATGCATTCTGCTATCCTATAGATGCAAAAGCTCTACTAACAAAATGTTACTTTGGAAGGAAAAGGGATTTACTTAGTTGCTATCCCTACTTCATACAGAAGTCCATTTACTTGTTTATGATGGGAGAGCCACCCAGAGAGCTAATCACAGATACAGTAAATGCTTCCTAAGAGCAATTGTAGGTACTTTATTTGAAACATGCAGCAAGAGAACAGAGAGAAATATCACCCCTTTCTCCCCCTAAATACTGTAGTGTTTCTATAACAGCAAGATGATTTGAAGGAAAGTTGTTTCAGCCAAACTATCACACAGCACAATGGTATAGAGTATGTTGAAAGGTGTCAAAATGCCTTTCTTTCGAGGATTCGATTTTCCCACTGGGAGAGCTCCGGCGCAAGGATACGGACAACTGCTTGAAAGCTGGATCTTTTTATTTTTCAGGAAGGCGGAGAACAGCGAGAAGTCTGCGTTCCTGGGCTAGCTAGCTTCCCATGGTAAGTCCCTGGTTTTCTATACCCTTTTCTCCCTTTGTAAGTTGATTTTGTGTGAGTGTTTGTATTTGTGCCTAATGTTTCAAATCCTGTTTGAGTTTGTCTTTATTTCCGCCGGAGGGCAAACTCCGTGGGGTGGCCAGATTGTATTATTGGTTTTCTGTAATCTCTTTTAGCTTTAAGATAGTTTTTCATATTTGTTCTGTGGCAATCTCCTGTCTGTCCCTTTTGTAATTTATATTTTGTGTCTTTTGTCTGTTTGTTTTGCTTATTTGGTATGTCCTGTGCTTGTAAGGGTTTTCTAAATTATCTTTTGTTTCCTTTTCCTATTTGTCTAGTTTTCTTAATTACTTAGGCTTTTGTCTATAGGGATTCTTTAATATTTTTTATTTGATTTCTTTTCCTATGTAAGTTTGTTTTCTGGCTGACCTGATGTTCCCCTTGGGCTTTTCCTGTTTTTTGTGACACTACTGCCTTTGTGAAATTCCCTTTCCACAAGTATACCAGTCAAAGCAATGGGTTTGCACAGCAGGCTACCTAGTTTTCATTAGCAACTATGTTTCTCAAATGAGCCACCAAGATATGAATTAAAGTTTTAAAAACTAATTGCTTCATCATGTAAACCAGGAAAATAGAAAATAATAAGCCAACATATCTGGAGGTCTCAAGTTAAAGAGAAGAAATTCTGCTTTAGTCTACAGTAGAGATGAGTAACCTGTAGCCTATTTAGTTACACTATAACTATGATGTCTCATACAAGCCATGTGGGCTAGATCTTAAAAGTTCTGAGGAGTTTTTTTAAACACAGATATAGCATAGTTACTGATTGCCTACGTCCTTGGCTAAAAGAAATAACTACATCTCTATCTAGATCTAAAGGGGGATTGAAAGACCATACATCTTTTGAGATTTTTTTCTCATTTCAATGCATTCGTTACCTAGGAGTCTCTTAACAATCAAAGCACCAGGCATCTTATTAAGAAATCAAGTGTAGACATGCCTTCCCAGAACTTTGCTTGGTACCACTGGACATAACATTTGCCATTAATTCAGTGTTCACACAGAGAGGTTTTGCACTATTATGACCACCCAATTTGATATAGATATATATATCTGACTTTTTCTATATCTTTCCCCACAACATAGAACTTTTCAATGTACACCCAAAAGCCTTGTAAAGTGGAAACCAAGGTTCAGCTTGCAAGACTACTCGCTTCTTTGGGAATCAATTTCACTGAATAGAATTGGGATTAAGGATAATGAGGTTACTCAAGGTGAGTCCTCACTTAAGTGCCATGTAAAGACTTTAATTTGCCTGTGCAATTACACATCAATTTCTTCTTCTGAACTGCATTAATATTGATGTTAATAATAATTAATTACTATTATTAAAATAGTAAAACAGCAAAAATAGTAAAATTATTGTTCTGTTAATTAATATTACAGCAGGGCCTTATTATACAGAAGATTTCTAATGGGAAGAATGATTCTTATTCTAGAATGCAGCAGGAGATATTTCTGGACATCAGAAGGTAGAATCAACTAAGAATGGTTTCTAATCTGTTTCATTTCCATATTCAGGGGAACCATAGGAGGTTCGTTAAGAAAGCAGAAAACAGCTGTATCTTCAGGAGATAAAAATTAGTAAAGGTAGTTCTTGTTTAGCGACAACAATTGGACTGGCTACTCAGTCATTAAGAGAAGCAGTCAATGAGTAAAATTGCAACTGTGCTTATGATCTTACTTCAGCTTTGATTTGTAGATCTACAAAGGTCGTACACTTACTTTTTTAATCATTGCTGAAAGTGAATGGTCTATAATTGAAGCAGTTACTAAATGAGAATTACTTGTAAGGCTGTTTAGGAAGACTATGGTTTCTACAAATTAAAACCACTGCCACATTCTGCCTAATTGTAGGACTAGTCCTGCAAATGTCTCCCACTACTAGTGATATAAAATTCTGGGGTTTCAGCACCAAAAGAAATATGGTACTTTCTAAACAGCAAGAGGAGGAGCAACTTCCCTATCCATCTCATCTGGTTCATCAGGGCATACTGGCAGAAGTCTCTAAAACAAATGGAAATTTCCTACAGATGGAATGCATTGCTACAACTCTGGTAGTGACCTGTTGCATGGCTTCTCTCTGTGGGGAGCCATTCTTGGAATAACTTCAGCTTGAGGTTAAACTATTTTTGATTCAGCAGTTCTAATTAAGAAAAAAAGATGACTAGGGAGGATACGGGTGAACAGGCATTACTGGCATACTCCCAGGTTTATATCTGTCAGAGTTATTCTTTAATTGTAATAGATACCTGCCTGCCTGATCTGAATCCCTTAGATTCTCAGTTCTCTGGCAGAGCAATTACATTCAGCTAGATAAGTAGTTATGCAAGAAACAACAAAGTTAAAAGTTAACACAATCTGTTTTTCAAAGATATGAATTTATTTATCATGCTTCTTCCAATATAATTCATATTTTGAGAAAATATGTTACCTTGATTTTTTTGGTACCTTCAAGCCAGTGTTGTTTCTTTCTTTTGTATACAGCCCAGAGTCACATTATCTTAAGTTGGGCAGTCACATAAATGCTTTAAATGGCACAAGGTTGACTGGCTCAAGGTTTATTCAGCCTTCCATCCTTCGGAGGGCAGCAAAATGAGTACCAGATTGTTGGTTGCAATATGCTGAATTTGTAAACTGCTTAGAGAGGGTTGTAAAGCACTATGAAGTGGTATATAAATCTAAATGCTAGTGCTATTGCTAACTGAAGGAAAGAAGGATGTTTCACATATCTAGTGAAGAGGACAAAAGTCCACATAAACTTATTCCATAATAAATTGATCAGCTTTTAAGGCACAAAAAGGTGTCAAATTAGTTTTGATTAGCATGGGGGTGGACTCCCTTCCTTACTGCTTTTTTTTTTTTGCATGTAAACTTTTTTTTAAAAAATAGGACTATTGTTGTGTTAAATGAATTTTGACTTATTTATAAGTCTGTATAACTGATATACAGTTCCAATAATTCTTATCCAGGATAACTAATGGCCATATTGAGTCTGGAAGGACAGGTATTATAATCCATCATATCTAGAGGGCACTGGACTAGCAAAGATTGGGATGATCAGATCATATGCAAAAGAAAAATGAAATAATGTTTTTTCTTATAAACCAGAAAAATCTGTGTGTCAAGATCAGTGTTTTTTGCTACCTGAATGCTACCAATTATCTAATTTTAAATAACCCTGTATCTAGAGAAACTGGTAACAAAGAACCACATGTAAAATTCATTCCAAAGAATGATATAATAAAACTGGGTAAACATAATCTTTTTCTTGATTAGTCAATTAAGCTATGTTATCCTTTTACTTGATTCTCAGTGGATGGTCACCATTATAGTCTTCCTCTTGGATTTCTCCAAATCAGCTCAAAACAATCATAAGCAAGCTCCATCATACAGTCTTTGAAATTTCCACTTACATGTTTTTTTCTCATTCTTGCAACTGCCACATCAAGATAGCCATTATTTTGTTTAAAAAAAATATTGAGATAATGATATACAAAAAAGAAAAATAAGTAAGAGAAACAAAAGATCAACTACTGAATATAGAGAAAAGAATTATGAAAAAACTTGCTATAAATTCTCCCACTCCATCCAATCTGTTTTTCCAAACAAGACTACACTTTGGTATCTATACTTTACACTGAATGTTGAAATTTATTGCTTGTTTCTATTTAGTAGTCTAAATTTGCCTTGTTGGGTTTTTACTGTGTATGTAAAGGAGACATTCCTGCTTGAATATTATCTAATTTTAATCTCCCAAATATTGTTGGCAAGAATTCCCTTTACCAATGTTATGACAAGGTATTGTGTTGTGCCATTATTGTGTCAAGTTCATTCTTGCAGATGTCTATATCTTATTAAAAGCCATTACTGTTTTCATTTACAAAGAGGATGCTGGTATAAAAGCATTAGCCCAGCCAATACCTATAAACTCAACTTTTCCCAATTTCTTGCCTCATGGCTCTGGTTCTTTCCTTTTTAGTTCCAAAAGAATGTCATTCGGGGAGGTGGGGTTCTTAGTTTCATACTGTTTTTATTTTTTTCCAACAAATGGAAAACCTCAGCCTATTGCACACCAGAAAACATACACTGGCTTTACAAACTAAAGTTACTAGTATATTCTTAATTCAAAAAACAGCTACAGTGTGTATGAAGCAAACATCCAACCCAAATGGAAGTGATATTAGAAATTTGGAACCAGAGAGCATGATCTGATAGCACAACATTTTTGTTGTGGTTCATTTATCTCACAATACATGCAGATTATGTGATTCTTGAATGTTCCAGTGGGATAATCACAATGTGCTTTGAAATACAGTAAAGTGTATTATTAAAGAAAGACATTATGCACCCCTTACAATTAAGGTCCCAATGCAAATTGTCAGCTATGATTTAAAAAATTTATATATGTATTTGTTTGGGAGTCCATATAAGGCTCCATTTTGCTAACATTTTAATTACTAGACTGAAAGTTGACCTACCTGGTTGATTCCGTTCTCACTGGCTTCAATCTTTTTCTGCATCTGCATCATTTGCCACATGTCAGATACAGCTGTGCCGGATCCACTTTGGGTCTTCTCTAGCAGTTCAATCCCCGAAGGAAGTTTCTCCAGTCCAGCAATCTGCTTTTCAACCCCTATGAGGTCTTTCCCCATTCTTTTCACTTTATCCTGCACTCCTTGAGTTTGATCTTGCACTCCTTGGACTTCATCTTGTATTCCATGAATTTGATTTTGCACCCCACTGACTTGATGTTCTACTTCTTGGACTTGACCTAATACCCCCTGGACCTGGCCTTCTATCCCTTTAATCTGACCTTTCACACCACGGAGATTGGTATCCATCAGCTTTAGTTTCTTTTCCAAGTCAGCAAACCGAGAATCCGGCTCCTCTCTCAAAGTGCCTCCCTTGTCCTCCTTCTCTTTTGGTAATGCCTCTTGGCCCAATAAATCACTAGGTTCTGTCTCAGTTGTAGCAGAAAGCAAGGCCATCTCTGGCTTGGTTGGAGGACCTCTGTCCATCTTTACATCTGCTTTGATATCTTGAATGTTGAGGTAGCTGATGACAGCATGGAGGAGAGCATGGAGGGCATTGAAATTGATAATGCCAATCTCCGGGGTCCCTATGGAGAGATCTGCCAATTCATATAATGTGACTTTGATAGACATTTTGGTAACGAATTCTAAGTGGGACAATTGCTTGAAAAATTATTTAAAAAATAAATATATAAAATCTGTTTTTCAATGTAACTATATAAATCTGTTGCTCATATACTGACTCTTAGAAAATATAACTTTCTGGTTAGGAAAGCACTTCTACCACTAATGGATCTTTCTCCTTCACAAGACTGATTCTTTTTCTGCGGCAAAACAAAAAGAGCAAATTCGCATCCTAAAAAAGCGGCCTAGGACTATTATTACTATGCTTTCTTCTCTAATATTCTTAAGACTATTCTGTTCTTTCACGAACGGGATCCGATTTACGGAACCCTTCCGTACACCCGCTAGTTAAAGCCGGGATAGAAGAGGGCGTCTCTCGCTCCTCCTAGCGACCCGAATCTTCTCCGCCTCACAATCCAGCCCTGTGTCAGTTCTCACATTCCATTGGTGGCGTAACAAAACCTTCCGGCTCGGGGATTCGCCGTCGTCCCTGCCCATGTGCTTTTGTTTACTCCATTGCCTCTGCCGATTGAATGCAGTTCGGGCGTTCGTGGTTGCTAGGCGACTCGGGACGGTTACGCGTACGTTTACGGCCGCGAGCCGCACGAAGAAGGGTCCGATGGAGAATTTGAAATGTTAATACGAAGCGTTTACTTCACGTTTAGTTTTCCCTGTCACAGCAGCCGTCGTTTCCGAGAAAAAAGATTCCTCTGAGATTAAAGGCGGACACCGTCGCTCACAGTTATACATACAAATATGAAGAATATATCTCATGTACATACAATCAAAAGACTTTATTTTCCCCGTCAGAGTGATGTTAAAATACTGTAGAAGCAGCGGGTCCCAACCTCTGAGCAGTTTTTTCAACTGGGCTGGGGAAACGGCTGTCGAGCGAAAGCGCGCATCCTCACGCGTGCGCGCGCGTTTCACTTGCATGAGCGGCAGGCGCGCGGGCACCGCTGCTCGTGCAAATGGAGCTGTGCGCCCGCTTGCCAGCCGCTCGCGCGGAACCATCCCTTTTGCCCCTCCGCCGCCGGTCCGGAAAGCTTGGGTGGGGGGGGACTCTGTTCTAGCAGACAAAAACCAAGTGGATGAAATCTGGTGAGTGATAAGTATTTTTAGTATTTTAGTATTTATTTGATTTGTCAATCGCTTACAAGAGAATAGGTATAAGTATATACATAGTTATGAATACATGAAATGGGTACATATAAGAAAAATAAAAAGAAACAATAGGACAGGGACGGTAGGCACGTTGGTGCGCTTATGCACGCCCCTTACAGACCTCTTAGGAAAGGGGTGAGGTCAATAGTAGACAGTCTAAGGTTAAAGTTTTTGGAGTTTGGGGACGAAACCACAGAGTCAGGTAGAGTATTCCAGACATTGACTACTCTGCTGCTGAAGTCGTATTTCCTGCAATCGAGTTTAGTGCGGTTAACCTTGAGTTTGTATCTATTGTTTGCTCTTGTGTTGTTATGGTTGAAGCTGAAGTATTCATTGACAGGTAGGAAATTGCAATGTTTGATTTTATATACCATACTTAGATCAGACCGAAGACGGCGTAATTCAAGGTTTTGTAGGTCTAGAATTTCGAGTCTGGTGGCATAAGGTATTCTGCAATGAGTAGAGGAGTGGAGAACTCTTCTTGTGAAATATTTCTGAACTTTTTCAATCAGATACATGCTATGGGTTCCAGACTGATCAGCTGTATTCAAGTATAGGTCTAGCAAATGTTTTGTATGCTCTAGTTCGTAGTATGATATTACCAGAGAAGAAGCTACGTAGGATTAGATTAACAACTCTTAATGCCTTTTTGGCTATGTAGTTACAGTGGGCTCTAGCACTTAGATCATTAGAGATGAGTACTCCAAGGTCCTTGACAAAGTTTGGATCATGAACAAGGTCTTGACTATTTAGTTTGTATTTTATTTTCTGATATTTTTTTCTGCCAATATGTAAGGCAGAGCATTTATTTGTTGAGATTTGAAGTTGCCATTTGATTGACCATTCTGATACTTTTTGGAGGGTAGTAGTATTGTCTGTGGTGTTGAATAGCTTTACATCATCAGTGAAGAGAACGCAGCTGCTCTTAATATAATCACAGAGGTTATTTATGTAGAGTGTGAAGAGAATTGGTCCTAGAACACTGCCTTGGGGGACACCACTATTGACAGGTACAGAATTTGATAGGACACTCCCAATTTTGACCATTTGTTGTCTGTTTGACAGGAATGCTTCTATCCAGTTATGTAGGTGTCCAGAGATACCATAAGATTTTAGTTTTAGTGGTAGTTTGTCATGTACCACTGAATCAAAGGCTTTACAGAAGCCTATGTAGATTGCATCTATTGCTTTGCCCTGATTGAGTTGTGTAGTCCATATATTTTTGCAGTGTAAGAGTTGCAGATTACAGGATAGTTTTTTTCTGAAATCAAATTGTTTATTAGAGAGTAGGTTGTTTGTTTCTAAGTGGAGGATGATGGATTGGTTAATAATTGATTCCATGACTTTACAGGTGACGAAGCATAAGGAGATTGGTCTGTTAATTTTTAACTAGGCTGGGGTCTCCCTTTTTGAAGATGGGGATGACCGTGGCTTGTGACCATAGTTTTGGCAAGGAGCTGGTCCTGAAAGATTTTTCAAAGATTGCTTTGACGGTGCAGTCTTTGCTAGGCTTGGCCTTCCTTCTAAATCAGGGGTTCCCAATTCCCCCACCCTGCACCGCGCAAGTGGGTGAGCGCATGCGCTCAGCTTCATTTGCGCCAGTGGCGGGCACTCATGCGTATGCATGAAGCTCCGTTTTGGGGACCGCTGCTGTGGTGGTCAGTGATGCTAAGGCTAAGTCAACCAAAGTTATTTTATAGCCTCATCCCGCCAACTGCCGAAGGAATATCCCTAGTAATGATTTGCTATGATGCTGTCTTTGTCTGATCCTCAGCCCCTAGCTGAGACAGTCTAGTTTTCTTTCACTTCTTCTCCTTCTCTCCTCTTCTCCCCGCTCCTTTTCTTCTTGAATTTTTTTTATCCTGGGCCAGACATTCCTGTTCTTCACGTTGTAAAATTACATTTTTTGACTGTGACAATATATTGAATAAAGAAGATACTTGTTATATTTTATTAAATGTAAATGGAATATATTCACCTTTAGTCCTTATTTGGGCAGATTTACTACTTGAGCAGATTTACTACATACCTCTTTAAAGTCAAGGAGTAATTGTAAAGGGTCAACTGCTGGAGGCAGGATGAAAGAATACGTATTACTGGGCTCAGAAAGTGTCCCTTCAATTTGCGGGTATGAATGCATGTCTTCACTTTGAAAATATAGATTATAACCTTATATCTAATCAACTTTGCCTAGTTATGAATATATTTTAAAATTACATGGTTCAGGTAACTGAGAGCAGCTGTAAAGCTCCGTTTCCTTACCAAATCTTCAATTATGTCCCTCATTTTACCTCACTCTCATAACATTCTAGGCATTGAGTGCTTTGGTTAAAAAGTAATATGTGGTGCTAATACAGTCATTGTATTTTGTAAACAATGGTTTATGATTTAATCTGTTGTGTGAATCTAGCTAAATGAAGCTTTGTTTTATATATGAACCATAATTCTTTTCATTCAGACATTTTGAGAGCCAAATGCAGAGGGCAAAAGGGATAGTTCTTCTGTCAGCTGTATATACAAGGAAGAATTTCAGAAACCAACATTCAGCAAACTGCAATGAGAAAAGTTGTCATATAAGGAATAAGAGTCCCATTAGCCTTTGTATCATGTCACTTACACCAGATCATTGGAGGCTGATTTGAAATTTGTGGCTATTAAAAGCTCTCGTATACTTTAAATCAAATTCAGTACAAATGCTAGAAGCTGGAATTTATTCTGAAAATAAAATTTAAAACATGGACATTAACATTTCCAATTTGCTTTTGAAAATTAATTTATAGCTGCAAAATCAAGGAGCTACTTTAAACCCTACTCCAGCTAGTCTAATAGTCAATAAGTTAAAGACATTGCCAAACTGACTGGATGTCTTTGGCTTATTTATCAGCAGGATACATTACAGCAGCAGATCTGAGATGTTTTATCTCAGGATCCCTTTACATTCTTAAAAATGATTGAGGACCCCAAAGAGCTTTGATTTGTGTGGGTTATGTCTATTTAAAATTTACTTTATTAAAAATTAAAATTTTAAAATACCGTATTTGCCGGCGTATAAGATGACTTTTTTGCCCTGAAAAAGATGCCTCCAATTGGGGGGGGTCGTCTTATATGCCGGGTCGTCTTATACGCCGGCAAATAGTAATTGGGAAGCACTGCGGCTGCCCGCGGCTGAGGCACTTTTGCGCACCGTGGAAACGAATCCCGTGAAGCCAAAAGGAGCAGCCAGCCTTCTCCCAGCTCCCAAGGAAACGAGGCTCGCACCGCCCGAGCTCCGCTGAGGTATCCGGCTGGGGCTGTCAGGAGTTGTTACCGCTGGCGCGGCTCCGCGCGGCTCCAGTCCCGCGTTGCCTCGGGAAGGGAAAGGCAAAACCAGGAGCCGCTGCTGCCATTGCAAAGTGCCGCCGCGGTTCTTCCTTTTTGCCTTTCCCTTCCCGAGGCAACGCGGGACTGGAGCCGCGCGGAGCCGCGCCAGCGGTAACAACTCCTGACAGCCCCAGCCGGATACCTCAGCGGAGCCCGGGTGGTGCAAGCCTCGTTTCCTTGGGAGCTGGGAGAAGGCTGGCTGCTCCTTTCAGCTTCACGGGATTCGTTTCCACGGTAGACAAAAGTGCCTCAAAAAAAAAAAAAAAAGTGCAAAAGTGGAAGGCGTGCGGAAGAGGGGGCAAGTATATAACAAACTATATTTTGAGTGGAAATGTTGGGGGGTCGTCTTATACGCCGGGTCGTCTTATACGCCGGCATATACGGTATTTGACTTTGCAGATCCCCTGAAAGTCAGGGAGTCCCAGGAGTCTCCAGACACCACTTTTGAGAATTACTGCTGTAATGTATCAGTATGGACAATAAGCCAACCACATATGGTCAATCAGAGTGAAGTCTTAGCTTTTTACTCTGCTTTTTAAGAGCAGCCACCAAATTTAGCAGTAAAAATCTCTCTATCATTAATCTTTAAAGTATTATTCACCATCACTTGGAGACTCCAATAGATTCATTTTTGGATAAATATGCCTGGGCTCAAGCTTTTTTTTTTTCCCCTTTGGGGGAAAAAACAGGAGAACATTGCAAGAATTAGGTGTGGTATTCACTGTACGTTGAATAATTCAACACAACACTGAATCAATTTGGAAGAACTTTATTGATCATATAACTGTTCTATAATTGTATAGAGTTTGTACCTATGTAAGGTCAGCATCTTGATGCTGGAAAAGAAACATTAGATTTTGTGAAGTTTTTCTAACCTATAATTGGATATCTTCGTAATAAGATGTGAAAGAGTAGCAACTGTCTTCTGTACTTCCCATTGAAGCCAGGCATACTCTCATACCACAGGACAGATACTTTACTACTTGGCAGACATATGCTAGTATCTACTTCTGTTTTAATAACAGTGATTATATTATTATTGTGTCACTGTTCATGCTACTATTCATTAGTTTTGGTTTTTTTCTCCTATGTTCGCTGCCTGGAGTCATGATTGCAAGATGGGTATCTATACATATTGATGTAATAAATACATAAATTCATGCTAAATATTTGTTTCTTAATGAGAAGGAAGTCCCTGCTGAATTCCGAGAGTATAATGGATGATCAAGAGGATTTCTTTGCCATATTTGCTACTCGTGTTAATCAAAACAGCACTTCTAGCCTGATTGACTGTGAGGGAGATGAAGCCATTTGCCATGTCAAACAAACAAGGTATTTAAATGGACGCTGCCCAGCCACTGTGATGCTCTTGGAGCTGAGAAGCAGTAAGACCAGAATGGAACATATAGTTCTGTATATTTTCAGGAATGTAGACATCTGTAAGACATTTTTTTTCTGAAACAAGTTGAAGATCCTATGACCACCGAGGGGAGATGTGAGAGATAGTAAGTATCAAGGACCTGTTGGTTTGCACCACACTGAAGATGGCATTCATTGCATCTGGAGGGCAGCCATTTGGAAAGGAAGTCTGCTTTTCAATATCAGAGCAACAGAAAAATAAATTCTCCTTGTTTCCCTTTCATAGGTTGTTCCATTGACATATCCCCTCACCTATTTTTCTAAGTCCCACGGCAGCCAAAGGCAATTGATTTTGACCCTGTATGAATTTACTTAGAAGTCATGATAAAACTTTCACTTATGGGGGAATATGGGTAGGAAGCAGTTTGAGACATTAATTATGCTTAAAACAGCATCTGAACATTAAGATTCTCATGTGTCCTGCAGATGGCAGCACACCACATCAAATGGAGCACAGAGCCAGATTCAAGTATAGTACCAAGTATTGTGCTCTTACCTGCCAAAATAAACTCTGAATTTCCTCTTGTTCACACACTTCACCCTTGCCTTGGTAAACAGCATCAGTCAATGTAAGGGAAGAGGACACACGACCCAAAACCCAGAACTGCACTGACTTCTTAAAAGACCTGGCTACAATCTGCAAAGGATCTTAAAGTACCCCAACTGAAGGTAAAAATGAATTCTTAAATACATGAGGGATAACCAGTAACTTTGACCTTATCATTCATAGTAATCAATTAAGCCTCTTAGCCTTCCCAGCTCCAATGTTCTCTGGAGTATACAAAAGTTGTACCAAATGACATATCTGGGGTAGATTCTACAGCCCCTTCTCTAGTTGACTGGAAGTTGCAAATTACTACTGGTATTATCCATGGCAATTTAAAATTAAGCAGCTGATAGATTGCCTTTCCCATTAAAAACCTGAGGTAAGATCTGGAGGTCTTTTGGACGATAATCCCTATTGCTCACAAAATCTTGCTATCAGGCACGTGGGAAAAGATTTTCTCTTGCATCGCTCATGGAAATTGCTTTAAGTTCCATTCTACTCCGTATTTTTAGTAAATCTGTAAAAATGCATCTTTTTGCCAAGCCTTTACTGGTCCTTTTAATATTCATGTTTTAAATGTTTTTATCGTTTTTACTTTGAATTTCCGAGTCACTTTTAAACTGCCAGTTGTCCTGAGTGATCTTTTGGTAAGGTGACAGATAAATCAATTAATCAATTTGACCATTTAAAGAGGGGATCTCATTTAATATCACGTTCAACATTATGTAACTGCAGTAGCTCAGACACTGGAAAGGGTAGAATATTTAAAACATTTGCCTAACCATTTGAATGGAGATTCTAAGGAAGACATGAAACTGTGAGTTATAAGGATTTGGCTCCTCCAAAGTCATAAAAATACTACACAGTGCTTGTATGTTCTTTCATTCCAAAACTGAAAAGATAATATGCTTCTGTATATATTTATTAGAAGATAATTAAAAGGTTTGAGGCTCCTAGAAGCAAGCATGTAAAATTGAGAACAAGCTGCAATAATCAGGCTTGATATATATTGGATTCATAAAAAATCCTATCAGATCTCTAACTGAACAAGTGGACATGGCAGTAGCTTTTTATACTACCCACTGCATCATCAATGGACTTCAAAAATATGAAGTCACTTCTCACTGATTAAGCATTGCAAAATTATTCTGAATACATCATCTCCCCTTCATTTATGGAACTACTTTTAGAACTATAATGATGCACCAAAGACGACAAAGGAATATTTCTTCAAACTTCAGATTTAAATGGAGAACAAAGAACAAGTAGCACTAAAACTAGCATTACATGAAATAGGCTAGTAGGCTAGTAGTTCAATTGCATCTACTTCTATAAAGGCAGTGGGCATTGTACTAGATTGAAAATTGTTTCAGCTTTCATTTTTGTGTTTTTACATGATCTATTTTTAAATTTTGCTTTGAATTGAATATGTGCAGCCTACAAACAATGGACATTTCACATTGTGTTAGATCTAAATTGTACTTTAGCATGCACTTGTTAGCTATGAATCCCTTACATATGTATCTCCATGTTTTCCTTCAATTTAGCACTTCCCTTATTGAAGCATTGGTTTTCTGAACTCAGTATCTTACGTTTGGGGAAATGTTCAAGAGTATTACTCTTTTTGTTGTTTTGGAAAGTTACCAATTACAGTCACTTGAATGTTAATTAAAATATAATGGCCCATCTTCTCTTCAAAATGATTAATATTTAATTTTTCAGAAGCCCTGTGGTTTTGCTCCCTCTTGTTTCACATTGTGTTGTCCATAACCAATTTTCTCATGGGTCAGAATATTTCAGAAACCAAACTGACAACTTATTTCATCTTGTCTCACATCCTCAACTTAAGGGAGTTTAATTAGCTACTAATTTAATTAAGCTGCTCCCCTTCCCTTTATACCTATATGAAGTGCAGAACAAAAACAAGACAGAAGTATGAAGGAGAGGAAATATTTGTACTATTAAAGACCAAGGAGTGAATTTGAAAAAGGTATTTTAAATATCTGATTAAAAAGCCAAGGAACACTTGCCTTATAAAACTGTCATTATCAGATCACTAGCTAGATTACAACCCAAACCCTATCCCAAGCCTTGCCATTGCAGCTTTGGTATCCATTTAAAATAGGATCTTGCACACAGTTTTGAGGATAATAAAATGTTAGGAAGGTTATACCAGGAAAGATAAAATCATAATCAGAAGATTTGGTTGCTGACACTGAGATCTCCAATACTATGGGAGAATTATAAATCTAAAATCAAGCTTCTTAAAAAGCCATGAACTAACAAAAGGATTCAAAAGATAGCTTAATAAGAGGCAGAATCTTCCCATGAATTCAGGGTGGTATAACAAGAGAGGCATTCCTTTTTCATCTTTATTTAAAAATTCCACCAGTTTAAAAGCAGATAGATTTCTGTGCTTAATAAGGACATATTTATACTATCTCACAAAAGATAAATGCCATGCCTGACTTATGTTACTTTAATCCTAATCAGTCATCACTCTTGCTCTGGAATCTGTGATCTGAACTTCATGACCATGACAATTTGCTTAAAGCAGATCAAAATGCCAAATATTGTTTTAATGCTGCAGTATTTGCATAGATCTATATTTTTACTCGACTATATATGGATGCCATTGATTGTTGTAAAACAGGTAATAAACATGCAGCATAAATCTCCATTTGTTTGAGTTTAGAAATCACATTTCTGGACTTCACCTACAGTTCAGCCAATACTGTTTACCCTTAAAAAGTAGAGACTTAAAATCAGAAGTGTTTGAACTTTGAACCTAAGACCAACCTATGAAAATCATAACAATGGATTAAACATGACTTTTCTAAATCAGTCATCATTTATGATTTGTGAGACTACCTCATAATATTGCTTTTTACCTCAGAATACTCTGATTTGTTAACCAGACTGAAATAAGAACAAGATGTCCCCATGTTTAGATTTACATATCTCTGCACTCGTGAGAGATATGTAAAAAGGTAGCTGAGTTGTAAGCTGGTATAGATAAACAAAGGGATTGGTTTGCTGAACAGCCAAGACCCTTTCTGGACTTCCAGTCTTCTTTATCCTTGAATATGAATTGAAAGTTACTTAAATATGCTTCGATGGGTGAAAAAATGTAAGGGAAATTAAGAAGAGTTCCCTTTTCTCAATAGTAAACAAAGAAAGAATGTTATGTTATCTTGCCTATATTTTTTTATAAGTCATGCAGAGAAACCTTCTGAGATAACATTAGTTGTTTTTGGTTAATCTGTCTAGAAGATCATGTGAGATCTCTTCTGGCAATCACTGATGTGCATTAGAATCACCATCCCATAGTTAAGGCACTTAATTAGTTGTGCCAACATATATTGCTTGTGAATCTGGGGTAATATTTCTGTACTTTCAGCATTCAGCATATAACTGTTGACTATTGCTATGGCTGTGCTTTTGATATTATTAGTGAATTAGATGCTCTTAAGATTCATATTTACCCATGTTTTGGGACTAGGTTGGCTATAGCAAAGAATAATCTTTTTCTCTTCCTTTAAAGCAGGAATATGAGAACAATATACACTAAAGCGGTGAACAATATTTCCATGATCATGAAGACTTGGACAATAATATATAAGATGCTATAATACCATTAAGTGATTAACACTGTTAGTAAGAAAATCACAATAATGGGATAATTAATAACAATATTTATGAGTTAACAGTTGATTTATACCTTGCCTGGTATTAAATACTTTTAAAAATTTTGTGAAAAGAGAACACGACTTCAATATGGTCAATACAACTGAGAAATCTTTTATATAAGGGATGAGGTATGAAGAGCTGTTTAAACAAATAAAGCATCTGGGCTACGAGAAAAATGATGGTTGCATGTATACTTTTTAGAGGTTATATGTAATAACAGTATTAATGAGAAAAGATGTAAAAAAGCATCAATTTCTTGAAGGCAAGTCTTCCCACTATTTTAATCATTACATGCAGGATCCAGAAACCCTATTTTAGGCATTTCTTGTAATGATCAAGCTGCCAAAGAACACTAATCAAAAGGACATTTTACTAAACTGAAAAGACAGATAATAGCAAATTTAAAAAGACAAAGAACTGCAAGTTGAAGAGGCCAAAATGAATTGGAATGGCTAGAAGAGCAGCAAGATAAGGAATACAAGGAAGTGCAAAATAATGGGGCGGGAGGAAGAAGGGGGGAAACACTTCCAATACATTGTCTCCAATTTAAGTGTGAAAAGGTACAAAATATTGGAGCAGATATAGGAATCAATAAATCCCCAAAGAAGCAAAACAAACCAATCCAAAAAATTATAGGTTAAGGAAGCTGAGTAAAATTTGGTCTGATTTAGGCTTATCTGCATTGTGGGTAGCATTTTTCGCAAATCCACTTCTTGCCTTCCTATAAGTTGAAATAAAACGGCATTAAGAATGGATGGCTTCATGAACTTTTCTGAAGGAAGTTGATGCTCTTATATTTTAGAAAATTCAAGGTGTGTTCTGTGGAAAAAGGAAAACATGCTTCCCTTTTGCTATCATATATGCAATTCAAACCTAATTCAAACAACTTGCAATAGATGACATCAAGATCTAATTTTCTAGTCTGAAGCTCTGAAGATATGCAACAATTAATCAAGCAAATTCAAAGCAGAGAAGAGACCTCTGGAGTAAATTCAAGAGATGAAATTTTGGCATCCTAGGAACACATACCAGAGGAAAAAAGGAAACTGTGTGGAAGTAGATAGTTTTACTTCTAAACCAGAAGCTAAATGCCTAATAAAATGCTCAAGAATCACTGCACTGGAAAAGAGGCTCAATCATCCCAGTAAAGGCCTTAGTGTTAAAATACTGTAGCGTGTGTGTGATTACTAACTTAGTGCTCTAAAAATCAGAGATCATTTCACTAGGTTAACCATTCTATACCAGTGAATAAAGATGTGTATGGCACAAGATAGGGTTGCACCGAATTCTCTTTATCTTCTAACTAAAATTTCCATCTTGTGCCATACACAAACACAGAATACAAATCCCATTGAACTATACATTTTAGCACACACTGTAATAACCATTATATATTCTCTTTCAAGCAGCTAGTCAGGATTACAACATATTCTCTAACAAAAAAGAGGTAGCACATTCAACTTTTTACCTCAACTTTGAAACCAGATAGCATCATACCAAGTTATTGTTGATGGAAATAAATCATTGGAAACCGTTTAATTTGCTGCTACCATGATGTTAAAAATGGCTCCAAAGATGGCAAGGAAAAAATATTTTTGTGTGATTTGATGATATGCAGGTAGAGCAAATCTCAGTGCACTGTTAAAGTCATCCCCCAATTGCCTCTCATGATACACAAGATATAATAAGAGCAAACAGCCACAACTAGCATCATACAAATAGTTTTAACAATATATTCCAATGCCTACCTGCACCCTGATCCAGTCTCCATGCAGGATTTGTGAACCTCAGCTCAAAATACTCAGCCCTGTTATATTTTTTAAAATAATCAACTTTATGGCACTCTTGCTCATATACATATTGTTTTCCCTTCTCTTTGAGGAAACTGATGGTAGAATGAGAAAAAATAAATTTAATCATCCATGGTAATATTGCGGAAGAGGTAAGCCATAGACTCCCCATTGTGGATTCGGCGAATAGCTTCAGAGAGGATCAAGCTGATATCCACAGTCTTTATCTTGGGACACTGCAGTTTTTGTACTTCGTGAGGAACTGTATTGGTGACCACAACCTATCAAAGTATAGTAAAAGAAAACAGCATCAGAAAACATGATTGAAATATCTCATTTAGAATCCATCCATGAAAAATATTACCTAAGAAAAAAACCAATTCTCTTTGGAAGAACTCCAGCAGCTCTTTGGAATTATCATTGGGAAACAGATTATGTATGTAAGATTTCATCAGATAAGAAGGAATTGTAGCTAGATTTGAGATTAAAGTATTTGTGATGTCCCTTGGCATAGTTTGAAATGCAGTTAACAGAATTACTGCAAGACATATAAAATTAAAAATAAATTTGTTTTGGATATGAGAAAGCAAATCGATCAGCTGGATCACCAATGGTGTTGTCACTGGTGCAAACAGAAGTAAAGGGTAAAATACAGGTAGTCTTTGACTTACAACAGTTCACTTAGTGATCGTTCAAAGTTCAACATCACTAAAAAAAGTGAACTATGACCATTTTCACTTATGACCATTGCAGCATCCTCATGTGATTTACATTTGGATGCTTGCCAATTGACTCATATTTATGAAGGTTTATGACACTTGGGTTGTAGTACCCAAGAGTGGTAATTATAGGTCCCATTGATTTAACTGGTGGCACCTTAGTACAGCAGCATGGCACTCCTTATTTTCGCAGTTAACATTCTGTCAACTCTATAATTGACTACATCATCTGACATGTAGCTGTGTGTGTAGATAATCTTAAATTGGTAGACACAATGCACCACTATACCCTCTGTACTGCTCTGTTATATTTCCTACTTGAAGAAATGCATCTGACTGCTGCCACTGGCAATCACTTCTTCCCTCCCCTCCACCATTAATTCAGAAAAACAATTGGGAGGCACAACTTTTCTTTAGGTGAGGAAAATTATATGCAGATCAGAAAGGGCAGATTATTTGGACAGGAAGGCATCAAAACAGACCCTTTGTTTCCATAGTCTGCAAACATTCAGCACTGAATTATGGCTATATGAAGAGCAAACTGTGCTGAAAAGGAGAAAAGCAGGGACCTTAAGGCACAAAAAAACATATATTCATATATCTCTCTCCTGTCTGAACATTTTGTTTTCAGCTATTACTTTTCTGAAATGACAGACTAATGACACTTAGTTTCCAATTTCAACTTATTCTTTTAACCCAAGAAAGCCTGCTCTCTGCCACAGGTTATTTAAGGCAGAATGAGGTGAATGCAAGTAGGAAGTGCTAGAATTTCTCTTTGGGCTCTGTATACACACAGTAGCAGTGTCCTCTACACATTTATATCGGCTAATTGCTAATAACTATGGGATATTTCAAAACCAGAACTCTTTAGACAAGAGACTCAAAAAAAAAAGCTGCAAATAACACTTTCCCTAGAGGTGCCCGCAAAGTAAAGTAGCTAAGGCATACACCTATAGGCAGAGACAACTGGAAACAGTTGAACTGACCTTGAAGTAGTTGGATGAAAAGGCTTTATTGCTTTCAAATGCTTTGCATGGATTAACTGTGTGTTATATATACATATATTCATGTATATACTAAATTAGACACCCCCCCTCAAAAAATGTTCTTTTGCTTTAGGGAAAGTTTTTTGGTTCTAGTTTTGTTTTTTGTTCTTTGTTTTTTTTTGGTGGGGGGAGACATTCAAGTTATTAATCGATTGCCTACAGAAAACTTGCCTCATCAATTGAGGACTCTTCAATTAGACGTGGAGCATCAGCAGACAAGAGACCATGAGTGGCCATGATAAAGATTTTGTAAGCGCCACGTTCTTTCAGGATTTCAGCAGCTGCTACAAAACTTTCAACATCATCAATTATGTCATCCTGAGAAGAAAAGTATATCCCAGTTAAATTCTGGAAAAAGGATAAAAGGAACTATGCTCTTGCCTCAAATGCTTTAGCACTAATGTAAATTCAAAAAGATCTGAAGAATTAAAAATATTTGCCTAATGTTCGTCCAGCCACAAACATTTTAACAAGTATTTTCTATCAGTGCAATATAGATTGCATCTTAAGATGTAATAATGTTTCACCAAAAATATCTGAAAGTCTGTTTAAAAAACAAATCATCTTCAAAAAATTAAATTTAACTTTGACTGCATTGTTAGTTATCTCTCTCTCTCAAGGTTAGATTTACAAAATAGCTGCCCTGATTTAGAAATACACTATGTTCTAGAGACCACCTGGAATCTCTAATATCTTCGAAAAAGGTCACCCTGTTTCAATTTCAACCAATTTTTAGATTCTGTTTCATGGTGCCTTTATATTTTGATAAATTTTTAGATTCTGTCAACTGACATACCTAGTATCAGGAAGCCAGATTTATCTACAATACCACTGAATTTAGTAACATAATGAAACATACCAAATTCATATTATAATTTAAAAAGATATAAAAAGCTATCTTGCTGAAACTTGCTACAGTAATATAGAATATAATATAACCTTAGTAAGACTTAATGTAAAACCTATCAGTCAATCCTTCAGAATAGGAAAACTATATATACTGTTAACGCTTTAGAATTGTGTTTTGTTTACATATTTATCAAAACATACAGATTTCAGAAACCAATACTATGTCCTATTACAAACAGGATAGTATGAATGATGTAGAACATGTGTTTTTAATTAAGCACAGCAAAAGTGGAAAGGGATATTGCATGACTGCTTAAAAGTGTCAGCATAATCAATATTGGCTTTGAGCCCAGAACTAAAATCCAAGCTATATTCAGATATAAATAATTAAGCAAAGTTCAAACTGAAGATGTTCACATTCACTCTCTGGCCTTTTCATTCCTTACCACAATTATGGCAATTCTACCTCCAACGTCTCCAACTACTGTTATGGGTGGTTTCTCTTTGGCCATCATAACTAAAGGAGGGAAATAAACCAGAATCATAGATATATTGTATGGTAGGTATACATGTTCTTATTTGCTTTGTAAATTAATGCATAGCATAGTGTTTTACTGTAGTATTCATTCTGCATCAGTAAAGAGATATCTTTAATTATTTCCTTATTGATTACAATTGGATTATAACCAATAAGGAAATAATTAAAGATATCTCTTTAATTGGATTGTAACCAAAACAGAACCAATTACTCTATATGTGAATTAATGTATATACATATGTAGACAATATATTACAAGCTCCCTACATGAAATAAATATCTTCCCCTTTTAAACCCCAAATACCCTAAGCATTAATGTTTGCCTATCTGACATTTTAAAAAATTACAACCAAAGACTGAAATGAAACAGTTGGAATCAACCAGACTTGGGATCTAAATGTTAAAAAAATCAGACAAAATAATACAGGCATATAGTAAAGTAGCTGATATTGTACCACTCCAAATAAGATTTCATTCAACATTATTATTACTGTAGGAGGCAGTTGTGTAGGCAGATTAATTTTGCATCAGTGGATACTTGGAAGTGAGTTCCACCATGCCCATTTGTGGCGATAACTTTCAAAAAACATTTTAATTACAAACAAACCAAATGCAAGCTAGCTTCCACAAAATTAGCATTTCTGTCTACAATAAACAGATAGCTATCTACCATTTAAAAACTATGATTTGCTAAACACAAATTTACTAATATTTTACTGGCAAATGTTGCTTCATAATCTTGCAACACTGATGCAAATAATTTGCTATTAACCTTCAGTTGATTATACTGCAATCCAAATCATAATGCTAGCTGTAGTAATTATACACATTTCTTTACCTATTGCAATATGTACTGTAAACATGGGATACTACCTAAAGGTACAAACCTACCCAATATTTAGAAATATTATGTTTTACATGCTCAGTGATTTTATAAAGGATTCCACTGTAGATATTTTGTCTAGCTAGTGCCTGGCAGCCGAAAAGGATGTTGGTAATGGGGATGAATGTGTGTGTGAAAGCAACTGCAGGTTTAATTGGTAAAGTTTTGTTGTCATAAACCAAAAAGCAGTAAATGTTATTAGGTAAAAGTTCCCCTTGCACATATGTGCTAGTAGTTTCCAGCTCTAGGGGGCGGTGCTCATCTCTGCTACAAAGCCAAAGAGCCAGCGCTGTCCGAAGACATCTCCGTGACTAAACACCAAAGGCACACGGAATGCTTTTACCTTCCCACCAAAATGGTCCCTATTTTTCTACTTGCATTTTCACATGCTTTTGAACTGCTAGGTTGGCAGAAGCTGGGACAAGTAACAGGAGCTCATTCAGTTACGCGGTGCTAGAGATTCAAAGCGCCAAACTGCCGACCTTTCTGATCGACAAGTTCAGTGTCTTACCCACTGAGCCACCGCATCCCCTAAAATGTTATTAGTTATTTTCAATATGCTATTTCTATACTTAGATATGTTTAATCATATAAGCCCCCATGAAGAAATGCAGTGTAAATACAGATAAATCCTATACTTGACAACTTGACTTTTAGCCAAATATAACAGATTTCAGATTGTCCCCTGATGTATAATTCTAAAGAGAAAAATATAATTTGACAATGTGAGTGGACAAGTTTAGTTTGACAAGCTACTGTGTACAAATATAGAAAAATGTAACAACATACAGGGTAGCTCCAGGCCAGTGCACAAAGTAGTATTTTTTACTGTTGGAGGAGAGTGACGTCCATCATCCATGTCTTGTTCTGTGCACTGAGCTTCTCCATGGATAACTGCCAGGCCTAACCGCAGTCGTTCAGCATAAGACTGGGCCCTGCGTAAGTAAGAACCAAGTCTTAGTCAAGACTTTCTCTCTGAGAAGCTCTAAACATACATTAATTTACCCATTTTTCAAACAAGGTGAAGCCTCAGAAAGAAAAAATGCATTCTTTTTCATCAATTATTGATGAAACGCAAAATTATGCTTCCTTTCAGCAAAATAGTACAGATGCTTTTGGCCCTTTGATTTTTTCCCCACAATAAGCATATTTTTTCTATTAAGTATATATTAGTTGAAAAATGCTTTCTGAGCACAATGCCTTTCAAAATCACAATCACCCACCAAAGCTCTTTTAAGCATTCATGGATGTACAAAAGAGCTCTTGTATTTTCATTTGTAAAGAATGTCTTATTGGGTTTCCAGGAAAAATATTTTTAGCTATTATTTAGCATACTGACATATGCATAAAAGATAATCTAATCTTTAATTTGGTGACCTTAATTAAAAATTTCTACCCTAAAGAGATTCAGTGCATATATCCATTTAATTCCACTTATTAGAGATCCATTTTGAGGGCTATTATTTGGAGAATGATTCCCTAAAAGTTGGAAGTCACAAATAGTTATTGGCATACAAGGTCCAATTTCTATGGTTGTGCATAAACCCAGATCTAAAGAGAAAAATATAATTTGACAGTCCTACTAGGTGGAATTTTTCAGACAGGAATTTTTGTAATATAGTAGTCTTTGCTTAACAACCTGTCACTTAGCAACCATTTGAAGTTATGACAGATTCCCTACAACCAGTTCTGGATTTTCAATGGCCGCACATTCCCCTGTGGACATATGATTGTATTTGGGGTGCTTGGCAACAGAATCATTTTTATGACTGTTTGCAGGTCCTACAGTCACATGACCAAAATTTTCAGTGGTTTCTGGCACTTCTAGTTTCAGCAAAAAATGCTCATTGAATAATATGGATTCATTTATCAACCAACGCATTTGCTTAACTGCTGCAAAACAGGTTGTAAAACTGGACATGGCTACATGGTGAGCTGCTTAATGACCACCATGACTTGCAACTATAATTCTGGACTCAATTACACTCATAAATCAAGGACTACCTGTATTCATATCAAAATAAATACCTCTTAGCAGCATCAGGACTCTTTGCTACTATAACTGCATTCCTATAATCAGGAATCTAAAAGAGAGAGAAAATATTTTGATTTTAAAGCAGTTTGTTTCTGAAAGTAATTGTTTTTATAAGTAATTATTTTTTATGTGACATGGGAAAAATCATTTAAGGACCACCATACTCAGTAACCTTTAAATAAGTGCCAAATCCACTACTATAAAATAATTACATTTCCTTTTTATTTAACTGTGTGAGGGGAGTACCCATTATAATACTAGAACATGAGGCTAAGTTATGTGAGAATGTGAGGCCAGGATGAAGATGCCATCATGTGAATATGAAGCAGGCATGTACACAAAGAAGACAGGAACAAGGAATCTTGTCAAAAAGATCTCTTCAGGAGGTAGGTTAAGTACAAACCAGATTATTAAGGATCAGAAAAGAAATGATACTGCTCAGAGTCACCTGGTTGTGAGATGGGCAGCAAATAAATTTAATTCATACATAATACATACATACATATATACATCTACAAACGCATACATAGAGACATAGCAGCAGACATACAAGGGAGATTGGCAATTTAACATTCAGACTCCCCCATCCCACTGAAAGTTACCATACTTGTAAATCAACAAGGCAAGAGATTTGTGGGATAAAAGGGATCCTGAAACCCGCCCACTGTTTGAATCATCTCAGACCTGGCAGTTTCAGTCTATCTAGCTAGTGCCTGGCAACCGAGAAGGATGTTGGTAATGGGGATGAATGTGTGAGAGCAACTGCAGGTTTAATTGGTAGTTTTGTTGTTGTTTTGAATCATTAGGTCTCCATTTATTCCATCAGAACTTGACATGCCTCAGTGTCTGGTTAAAAGGGATTTCTGTGTGTTCCTAATTATTTCCTGGCTGTTCAATGGGGCTGCGTGTCTCACATGCTTTAGTCACAACTATCTGGAAAACCCAGGAAGAAAACCCAGGTAGTTGCAAAATCTGCATGTCTTGATAGGCTGCATGTGTGAATGACCATAAACTGAATCTGGGAGCAGGTGTAACAATACTCAGCACTCAAAAAGTTGTTTTTTAATTATTGTATTGCCTCAGTTAATATAGATATGAAAACATCATCTTCTAATAGAACAAAGGTTATGACTATCAAGAGATCAAAATTACTTTATACCTCTTCCTGAATATACTGAAGCAAGAAAGGTGATGCTCTCAAGTTATCAACAGGAAAGCTAAAAAAACCCTGTATTTCTTTTTGATGAAGATCCATAGTGATGATGTGACTTAAACCTAAAAACCAACAAATGTAAAATATTAGATATACAACTTCCAACAATTACAGATGGATATCTAATTATTTAAGCTGGAATTAATGAAGATGCTTGCTATCAGGATGGATTTAAATCACAAGGCAGAAAATCTCATTTTAATGTTTAAAGTAACATTTAGTTATTGAAGAAAGACTCTATAATCATAATGTGCGTTCCTAATGTCTGTTATAACCTGAATACACATTCTTCAGTGTTTCAGGAAAGATTCGTACTCTAAGAAGCAAATAAGGGATATTTAATAAAAACTTTTTCAGATTAAAAGGAAATGGTATAATGATCTTAGCACCAAGGAAGCTGATTAACATTGGTGAAGTCATTAAGAAATGAACTACCTCCAGTCCAATTATTTGTGGTTACAGGTAGTCCTCAATTTACAATCACTATTGAGCCCAAAGTTTCTGTTGCTAAGTGAAACATTGGTTAAGTGGGTTTTGCCCTATTTTATGACTTATTTTCCAAGATATTAAGTGAATAATTGCAGTGTTAAATTAGTAACAAGGCTGTTAAATGAATCTGGATTCCCTTTTGACTTTGCTTGTCAAAAGGTTACAAAAGGTGATCCACATGACCTGGGACACTGCAACCATCATAAAAATGAGTCAGTTATCAAATGGCTAAAATTTGATCACATGACCGTGGGATGTACCATGGTTGTGTGAAAAATGGTCATAAATCACTTTTTTCAGTGCTGTTGTAACTTGGAATGGTCACTAAATGAGCTGTTGTAAGTCGAGGAGTACTTCTATTTGCAGGATATTTTTCTTATGATATACTAACAGAATGACCACTTGTAGCTTTTTGTTTTGCATTATTTATTTAAAAAAGGAGCAGCTGAACCGTTTGCATTTTGTATCCCCTCCTTTCTTACTCACAAATATAGGAAATATCACAGAAGGGCATAAACAAGGAAAAATTACAGATATTTTTAACACAAAGATTTGTCATACCCTAAGCGCGTGCACACATTAAGATTAAAGCACACAATCTTGGAATCTGTGAAACTTCTAATCCTTGTTCACTAGTGTGTAATGAAAACTCTTTCAAAAATCAATATGATTCTAAACATGTTTTCTTTTTAATAAATATTCTGATAACTTTTTGAAAGAAAGGTCTTCTTATAGTAGAAGGCAAAACTCTACAAAATCAGTTATATTTGTCGCTATCTTTGGGGACAGATCAAACATCACATAGATGAACTGTGAGAACTAAAACCAATGTTGCCTCTAATCAGCCCATTTACCTGATTTGGCCAACATGGAAGCAAGGAGTTTACAGACTATTGAGCCTCTCTTCCTCATTTTGCTTTGTTTGCTATAAGGGAAGTAGGGAATTACACCTGTGATGGTTTTGGCACAGGATGTTTTCAGTGCATAAGCCATAATCAACAGTTCCATTACTGCAGTGTTCACATCTCTGAAAAGGAAGAAAATACAAATAGGTTATCCCTGTGTCCATAATCTTACAATATTGGCTTTTGCCAATACAAAAATCAATTGTAGGTTATGTTTTACACCAGTGATCCCCAACCTTTTTTATGCCGCGGCCCGGTACCGGTATCAGCTGGGCGCCGCGGCCCGGTACCGGCATCAACTGGGCGCCGCCATCTTTTTTTGACGAAAAAGTGCTTCCGGTGACCTCACTGGAAGCACTTTTTCATCAAAAAAGATGGCGGCGCCCAGCAACCAGCGGCCCGGTAAGACTTGTTCCGCGGCCCGGTACCAGTCCGTGGACCGGCGGTTGGGGACCCCTGTTTTACACTATATCATGGTTTGCTGAATAGTCCATGCATAAAATTAAGGCACAGATTACAAATTGTAATAGCTGGGATTACATATGATGCCAATCTGAAATAAATACCCCAGGTTATTATTCAGTGTGGTATGTGAATTCAGCTATTATCAATACAAATACAATTATTTAAAAAAATTAATGCTTTTTTAATATCACAACAAACTAGTCAGCTTTTTTATCTTAACTTGATATTTTCCCAACTATGTATACAAGAAACTTGGGATTCTGTAGAAACCTAACAGAAATTCATGTATATGAAAATGAGTACAGTAGAGAAGCAGCTTAGAAAAATAGTTTGTAAATCATTAACAAACTTTTGCAATTCATGTTCTTAAGACCATGTTCTAGGACACAACATTTTGTATACAATTAATTAATCTAAATATTTAACTTGTACATAGTGCATTTGAACTAAGGAATCCCAGAACAGAGGTAGACCATTTAGTACTAATAGGCACCAATGAGCTCTATGTTCCCTCAGCCAACTGGTTTTAATTTCTTTTAAAATTACTTGTGGTTTTTAAAAGTGATATCGACATTTCTCTAGGCCAGACTAAGCTGTCTTAGCTCACAATGAAGAAAAATTTAACTAGCACAATTATTAACATTTCAATTATCATTGTCAGCAAGGGGTTAGTGGTGAGGTTGGGAGAAGTGTATTTGCATTTGTTGATTTGTTAGAAGAAATTTCATACAGGACCAGTAAGCTCAACAGGACAGTTCCTTTATCCAAGAAAATGTATTTTAATCTTCACAGTTCAAGGATAATGTACAAAACTCTCACCTGGGAATTGTCTGAATAATGAATACATCTTGTCCTCGGACTGACTCTTTTATTTCAACTCTTGTTTCTGTAGACAACACAGATAATTAAACAAACTTTGTAAGACTGTCTAACGGTATCCTTAAACTTATAGCAGCAATGAAATACATGGGTTGGATGGGGTTAAAAATAATCCATTAGAAACCTATTCTAGTCTAATGAAAACATATCCTACAGAAATGAATGACATTTGAATCTTAAAAGAAATATATTATATATTAAATTTAAGGACAAAGGTTTTTACACCACAAATATTTTCTGATGTGAATACATTCTGTTCACTTTGCCAAGCCATCCCTGTCTGTCTATCCTTAGCTCTAGCTACTTTCCACCTCTTTCTAGCTGTTTTGAAAGTTGAACTAGGGAAAGCCAGATTCAAGTCTGCTCTTAGCAATGGAGGAGTCTCTGTCTATCTCAAATGGCTGTTGCAGAGACAAGGAATTGAGGGATAGAATGCTGAGTATACCATTTTGAGCTCCTAGAGGTTCTAATGCACAGTTAAATAATCGTAATAAATAAATCCTCATTTTATATAAAATGCCTTTTGAACAGAAGATTTATTACATTCATAATTCTTCTGACAAGATTTCCCATTATGGCAGGGAGGGAAATATATAATTTATCAAACAGCTTCTCAAAGCAAACCTGCACACATTAGTTAAGAATACATATACGTCATTGCCTCCAGGTGCTGTGATGAAAGTTTTCATTATTTTTTAATCCCTATATAGATCTTTCAATTTATCATTTTTTATAAGCAATAGTATCATCATCATATAGTTGTCATGCTTCTGTTGCTGGGCAGAAGACCAAGAAAACATGCAGCTGTAAAGCTGGGTGAACATTCCAAATCACATTTCAGCTCTGCACAGCCCCAATGTCAAGACACCCTCCATTCAAAAATTCTGATGCAGCTAGCTCAAATCTGAAATATTGATAGTAGATACAGGAAGATCTTGCTTAATGATTGCTCTGTTCAGCAATTGTTGAAAGTGATGTCTTTGCTGTAAAAAAACATGACTGGTTCTCGCATTTATGACATTTACAGTGTCCCTGAAGTCATATGATCACCATTTGCATGCTACACAGCTAACTTCCAATATGCAGAAGTTGGCAATAAAATTGCAAGTCACAATCACTTGATGTCTTGTTTGATGACTGTGGGTTATTGGCTGAACAACCATGGTAAAAGCGAGAATGTAAGTTCATTATCATCAAATGATGTTTCATTTAACAATCATGTTATTCAATGATAGAGTTGCCAGTCCTAATTGTGGTTAAGTGAGGGCTACCTGTATAGCAACTCAGATGTAAGAAAAATCATGTTCCAGTCCATGACTTTAGAAACAGATTCCTATCTGCACTCAGTTATGAAAATCTCAGGTCTGTTTATCTCACAAGATTGTTGCATGGCTAAAACTTTGAATCCTTGAAAAAACAGGGGATAAACACATGGTAAATTTTGTTTAGAAATACACTGTAAAGCCCATTATGGTAATTTTATAAGAATAAACAACGTCTAAGTAGTTCACCACACAGAAATGAATCTAGTTCAATAGTTACCCAGTCATGGACAGAAATATAGAAATGTTTCAAAATGTTGTGGAAGCAACAAGGTAATCAAAAATGGATTACAGGTAGTCCTTGACTTACAACAGTTCATTTAGTGACCCTTCAAAATTACAGTGGCATTGAAAAAAGTGATATGACCATTTTTCACACTTAAGACTATTGCAGCTCCCCCATGGTCAAGGGATCAAAATTCAGCAATTAGTTATTGGCAACTAGTTCGTATTTATGACGGTTGATGATCACCTTTTGCAACTTTCTCACAAGCAAAGTCAATAAGAAAGCCAGATTCACTTAACAACTATGTTACTAACCTAACTGCAACGATACACTTAACAACTGTGGAAAGAAGAGTCATAAAATGGGGCAAAACTCACTTAACAAATGTCTCCCTTAGCAACATAAATTTTGGGCCCAATTGTGGTCGTAAGTCCAGGACTACCTGAATCTCATTGGCCATCTTAAAATCAGAAAAGAATAAATAGGATCATGAACAGAAACTATCTTTGGGTTTCAAACTTGTTTATTGTTTTTTGTATGTTTTGCTTATACCTACTGTATCTATGGGTCTTTGGACCCCTCAGATCTTGGGATATTCCATCTCTGATCTTGGATGGAATAGCACTTCCCCCTTTAAGGATGGCCTGCAGTCTGGGAGACTTCTTGCTTGAGAAACAGATGCCAGCTGCGGCCAGGAATGAATGTCAATTCTATCTAGTATACGTGTTGTGCCATTTTCCTAGATTGGAGCTCCTGTCACTCATGACCTACCGGTAGTCACCTTGTGGCTTGAGTTGTTCATTGTGCTGAACATGGGGCTGGCCTTGAATTGCACCTGGAAAGTTCAACTGGTCCAGAATGTGGCAGTGTGAACAGTGATGGCCATGCCTTTGTACACCCACGTAACACTTCTGCTTTGTGGGCTGCATTTATTTCTGGTATGCTTCCAAGCATGATTCAAGGCGCCGGTTGTTACCTATAAAGCCCTACATGGCACAAGACATGATTACTTGAGCGACTGCCTGCTTCTGATAACATCTGCCATTCGATTCAATCCTACAGGATAAGCATATTCCAAGTTTGTCTGATTCAACAATGTCATCTGTTGGGACCCTAAAAGCATGCCTTTTCTATAGCAGTGCCTGTCCTCAGGAACTAGATTTCCTGTGAGATTTGGATAGCGCCCACTCTGCCGTTATTCAGAAGAGCCATGAAGACCTTTTTACCCAGGCCTCTGGCAAGGGAGTGTGAACTTCATCATGCTTGCCATCTTTAACTTTTAACCTTTGTTGTTTTTATTGTATTATTGTTACTCATGTAGACTAGATTGGTCTGGTCGAGTAGTTTTTCTTTTTTGCGAGTTTCTAAATGTAACAAAGAATGATCAGCTTGCGTACGCTGTGGCGTTTTAAATTGTTTATCTGATTGTATCTAGGCTTGTATCTCACATATTTTTATCATGCTGACATACCTCCATTAGTTTCTTGGTACACCACGGATTTTCCAAGTTCAGCACCAAGACGCCTAAAAGAGAAGCATTTTCAAGATTTAGATTCTGCACAATAGCTTTAATATGAAACTGTTTATTGTGCAATTATTAGAACAGTGAAGTTCACCTGTCTACAAAAATTAAACTTTATTACTCTATAAACATTAGATGTGCAAAGCTGAATCAAATCAAGGCATCTCTTTTCCAGCATACTATTCCAACAATGGCAACCAGATTTTTACGGGAGTCCATAAACACAACCTTGCCACACAGAACTTGTGTTTCTAGACAACTGGTATTTGGGGCTAGTATTATCTCTGTTCCTTGAGATAACATAAAACCATTATTATTCCCAGCCACTGATCTGATTTGCTACTGTATAAAGCAATTATACAGCAATTATTTTGCCACCTAGCCCAATATTAACTTTATATTTACATCAAGTTAAATTTAGTTATTTAAAATATTTAAAAATATTTAAATCACAAATCATAATAAAATGTGAATATCATTTTCAATGATCATCTTGCAATCTTCCTTAATGGGTTTTAAAATGTGGATTTGGGACGTTGTTTGAACCTTGTATTGATTAAACAATCTACAGCTTTCTAAGAATAAAAAACAAATAACTATGTAATTATGGGCTACCTAAAGAAACTGATTTTGTACCAGTCCTATTTTAACACTATATTCATTTCTAATTATATTATATCTGCAAGTTAAACCTCTAAAGTCTTCCAATTACTTTGGGAGGAGTTAACAAAATGTGATTTATTTATTTACAATGCTCTGCACTAACAAATATGATGTTCTTAAAAGAAATTCTGAGCAAGTCTTCTAATAATTTTCAGTGCCTTGTTCATGCAAAATTTCAAAAGAGAATTCAGTCAGTAAAATAAATGTAAATCTAATAAATGTTATATCTAAAATAAAATCTAAAAATGCCTACATATTATTTTTTTGATAAGCATTCACTGTTCTTTGCGTTAAAAAACAATTCTCTCTAATAGCAACTTTGCATTAAAAATACATATGGTACTTCTGAATATAGTTCATCAAGCCATATCTCTACAGATATTCATCGACTTACAACTGTTATGTGATGCTTTGAGTTATAACCGCAACAAGCAACCATAAAATTCTGGGGTCAATTACTGCTGTAAGTCAAGGACCATCTGTATTGCTTTAGTCTTTCAGTGACAATCACCTAATCATGTAAAGTTTTGATTAATGGTGAAGGCTGTGTAAAGATTGACTCTCAATAGAACAGAGCAAGAGAGCTATTCTGTTATGCATAACACCCA